AATTTTAAATTTTATTATTAAATAGATGATTATCGTTAAATAATTAATTATGATAGAACAATGTGGTTTTGAATTGCATGGAACCAGAAATAATTTAAATTTGTAAAAAGCCAAAAAATCTGGACCTCTGCCCACTCTTGTTTTACTTTTCCTTGATTATCAGTTTTAACCAGAATAACAGCTTCTCAAGTTGTTGAAGGATAGTAGCAAATATATAGCTATATATATTTATCTCTAGATTATTCAAAACTCCTAATAAAGTATTTTAGCTTTTACAGCATCCCACCAATCTTTGAACAGATAAGGCCACAAGCATTTACATTATAAGGATACAATACATACTTTATAGTAATCTCTAATTAAAGTGGGCACTCTAGCATCGTCTTTTGAGAGTATGCCTATAACAATAAGGGAACAGATATGGTTAAAACAGCTAAGGAGGAAGCTTTTATTTTGTAACAAGTAACTTGTTTTCTAAGCTTTGTAAGTTGCTACTCTTCATTATTTTGTGTAGCTCTTTTAAAGAATGTTTAAACAATATATTATCTTAGCAGTTCTTTTAAACTCTATTGCATGTTATCTATGTAGAATGCCCAATTGTAGCAAGTAATTTGTATTAACTTCACTTATTTCTTTAGATGCATATGTTTATCTGAAGAATCCACCTCGAGATTTTCTTCCAAAAATGGGAGTGATTACAGTTTCAGGATTGGCAGGCGTGGTTTCTGCGAGAAAAGGTAAGGTTTTAAAAAGTAAATTTATCATTCAGTGCCATTCTATTAATTTCTAAATTTTATTCTCATGGAAAACCTCATATCCTATTTTAAATATGTAATATATATTATATATATATAATATATATTACATATAACATTTATATATTATATATAACATATAATATATAATTATAACTTAAAATATTACTATTATATAACTATATGTGATATATAATGTATATTATATAATTCATATAAATCTAAATGTTATATGTAATATATATTATATATTATATGGAGTGGGGTATCATAATTTTTTTTAGATTTTATAGTAATGCATGATTACTTTTACAGTGACTTTTTTGTGTTTTCAAAAGTAGAGCTGTTCCAAAGTATGTTCAAAATCATCAGTTAGGGAAATGCAAATGGAAAGCAAAGGGAGATACCATTACACACATATTAATAATGTCTAAAATTTAGAAGACTGGCTATATAAACTATAGTAAAAAATAAGGATAAATGAAACAGTCACATACTAATGGGAATGCAGAATAGTATAGCCATTATGGAAAATAGTTGGGCAATTTCTCATCAAGTTAAATATACACTTACCATGAGATCCAGTAATCTGGATATTTATCCTGGAGAATTGAAAAACCTGTACAGAAATGTGTATAATATTCATAATCATCAAAATTTAAAAACAATTTAAATGCCTTTTTACAGTAAACTGTAGCACATCCATAGAAAGAAACTCCATCCAACAACAATATGAGTGTAACATTCACACACATATCAATGTCAATTTTAACGAATATGAGTAAAAAAGTCAGTCTTGGGCTCTCCCTGGTGTCACAAAAGTTTAAAGTGCAGCATTGTGAAAGTAGCCACAGCAGCATGAGTTTGATCCCCCAACAGGGAGCTGACCCACATGAGGCAGCTGACCAGCATGGCTCAGCAGACCTCTCCTGTCTTGCCCGCTGCTCCCCTCAGCAGTGCACTTCATCGATCTACCGGTTCTGCTCCCCACTCTGTCTCTGATGAATCATTTCAGTGTCCCTGTGCCTCTAGCCTTTACCCAGTTCTGTATGCATAAATAAATAAATCTTTTTAAAAAGTCTAAAAAAACCTACATTGTATGTTTACATGACTTTACATGACTTTTCCTATCAGAATTTTATTGATTTGCCATTCATTATACAAATATATACATTTAGTAATACAACTTCATACCTCAGCATGTGCATATGTTACACTTGCTCTGGGTAACCACTGTAGTTTCCACAGTGTCTAAAAGTTAGTGTCTTAAGAGTTTTTGTGTTTGCTGTTTGGTTATCTTTGGTTGCTTATACTCTACAAAAGAGAAACCATCTGCAATTCTTCCACTTTTTGGCTTATTTCACTTCTTAATCACCTTAAGAACCATTCATATTATTACAGAAGTCACGGTTTCATCTTTTTTAGTAGCTGAATGATATTCCATTCAGTATACAATTTCTTTACCCACTCCTCTGTCAATGGATATTTAAGTTAATTCCACTTGTAGACCATTGGGAATAGTGCTAATATAAATATTGAAGTGCAGAAAATGTTTTGTATCTTCATATTCTTTTAATAAAAAAAACTCATAAGATTCCAGGAAGTTGGTAGAGTAGCTCAGTGTCTAAATGCAAAAAGATTTATGCCACATATGGCTTTTTGAAACATATAAAAAAATTAATAGTAAAAAAGAACAAGTCAGTGTTTCCCAGGGAGTTAGGAATGGGGAGAAGATATGACTATAAAGGGATAAATAACATGAGGTATTTCTTAATTATTCCATATATTGATTGTAGTGACACTACAGTGTATGAACTTTACATATATTAAAATTCAAAAAAACTGTACATGAAAAATTAAACTTAAAAAAAATTAAAATATGTTTGTTAAAATTTACCATTTTCTTATCTTGATAACTACTTTTTTTACAATCTTATGTTCTCTGGATGTAGAAAAAATCTATAGAGTTTTACATTAATACAGAAATGAATATGAACCACTCATTAATTTTCTTTCCTTAGTCATGACTACCGGGTGGGTGCTGTATTTAGGATTTGAGGCAGAGGTACTGATATCTCAAAACAAATTTTATTCCTTTGTAAGCTCATCCTGACCAAGGGTGCTGGCTTCCTTCACTAAGGCTCCAAAGAACACTCCCACTTTCAATGGGAGTTAGGCATAAGTCTCACTAAAACGTTACAGTGAAAGTATGCATACTGAGGGCCCTCCATAGTGACACAACAGATTAAAGCACAACACTGTGAAACTAGCCACAGCCATTTCCGTACAAGCCAGGGAGGTCAAACACACATTGTGCAGTAGATTTCTCCTATCCCACTCCCTGCTCCCTTCAGCACTGTATATCAGTCTGTCTGTTCTGCTCCCCACTCTATCTCTGGTGAATCCTCCTACCACCCCTCCACCTCTGGCCTGTACCCTAGTTCTGTATGCATAAACAAATAAATAAATCTTTTTTTTAAAAAAAAAAAGTATGCAAGCTGAAATAAGTAAAGAGAAAAGTCATGTGGTGCAAAGCTTAGAGGAAAACAGATACAAACTTCCACTATCCCTCTACCAACAAAGTTAAAAAAGATTTACTTAATTCCTCCATTACTGAGTTGTCACATATGCGATAATACATATGAGATGGTGTCAGCCAGGAATGCTCATTACAAACTTAGAATACAAAGTTATTATTGGGATCTAATCGTGTAAAAATTGTCTAGCATATACCAAAATTCCAGACTACCAGAAGCATTGTAGGTATTTAGCATAAACTACATCATTTGTACATTTTTGGCACAGTGTATCACTTTTTTTAATTCAGGGAGTATTTTCTATCAGTGTAGGGAGCTGCTTATAAGTCAGGTTTCCAGATTTCCAGATAGCAGCTAAGGACCAACCATCAGAGCAGGCCTCCCATGGCTGGCAATCTCAGCCATACTATATAAACTCTTTCTTACAGACTATTAAATAAATCTTTTATAAACACATGGTACAATTTGGATTTATATATTTTCCAACTCTCAACCAAGCCCTTAAAAAGCTGATGTAATGCTCTGAACTAGTCTGAAACCTGATATCAGATACTATGTGTTACAGTAGTCCTTAAAACAATCTCAACTGAAGTATACCTAATCAGATAGAAAACCTCTTTGAATATTATGAACATTCCAGCATTTTGTTTTTAACCCATATATCTCATCTCAAGAGATCTAATATTCTCTCTATAACTAATATTAATGGCTCTATTTTATTCAGACGCTGTGAGCAACTTGTAATTGAATATGCGTTATAAATTATTCACTAGGAAAAAATTTAAAATCAAGTACCATATGTAACAATAAGAGTCAAAGAATTAAATCTTGAAGGAAATTGGTGCAAAACATTTTACTTAGTTCTGTGAGAAATATGTAATCCAGTTGTAAGAGAAAATATTCCTCAGGTCATGTGTCCAAAGAGCAGACCTAAATAATCTAACTCAATCTTTTTCACAGTACAAATATTAACCTATTATTTAGTAGTGGAATAAATATATTCCACTAGGAAGCATTTATTGAGAAATAAAATTGAAGAGGATAGCAAATATCAGAGTGCTTTTACTTAGTGTAGTTAAATATCACAAAACTTTAGTTTTTATTTCAGGGGAGTGTGCCTGAGAAAAAGGAGTGAGATAGATCATAATGTAAAATTTGTTCTGTGCATGAGTAAAAATACTTTGAAAGAGACCTTCTGGTTGTACAACAGGTTAGGATGCAGCACTGCAAGCGAGTGGCAGCCACTTCAGTGCAACTTCCATCTCCAGCCCCCCAGAGGTGATCCATATGACTTGGCAGACCTCTCCCGACCGCCCACTACTCCCCTCAGCAGTGTACATAATGTATCTGCCTGCTCTGTTCCCTTCTCTGTCTCTTGTGAATCCTCTCACAGCCCCTGCACCTCTGGCATAAATCTTTTAAAAAATACTTGAAAAGCTGATGGCTTAGTCTAACCCTTTTATTGTACAGTTAAAGGTCCAGAGAAAGGAAATCACTTAATGATTACATAATACATAGCTAGTTAATAGCTATGTCTAGAGTTATTTCCTACTTACAGGAGTAGGGTTATTGAGCCCAAATGAAATTTGTATTTTTGTACACAACCTTTCATATTAAATAAAGCCAGGATGAATATTAATTTTTCAATCTGACACATCAAGAAAAAACAGCCACTTTAATTTAGGAATGCGATACTTAGCAAATTGACTGAGTCAAGGAAACATCCAAGTGGCATTAGGTCAGCAAACTCTAGAATCAAACTACAGATATTAAAGTAATAGTGAGCATGACTAGGGTAAAGGAACAACTAAGACATGCTTTTATACACCTAGACTCTTTATCCCAACACTGCAGAAATCATTCTGTAAATCTAGCTAACCTAGAGGTTGAAGCACCTATCCGCCTCGAATAAGGCTTCCATACTAGTAGTTGAAACAAATAGAAGTGTCCTTGCTTGTAACTTTCTTTACATTGTAAAGTTGCCTGTAAACATTACCAGATATTTTTCACCATAGTATTTAAAGATATGCCGGATAGGCTTTTTCATTTTTTTTAAAGATTTATTTATTTATGCATACAGAACTGGGGTACAGGCCAGAGGTGCAGGGGTGGTGAGAGGATTCACCAGTGACAGAGTGGGGAGCAGAACAGGCTGACTGACAAAGTACACTGCTGAGGGGAGTGGCGGGCAGGTCTGAAGAGGTCTGCCACATCATGTGGATCACCTCTAAGGAGGGCATGGAACACAACCTGAAGTGGCTTTAGCTTCTTAGTGCTGTGCTTTATAACCCACTGAGCCACTAGGGAGGATTGGCTTTTTCATTTTTAAATGAAGTGTTGTCAGAGCTCAGGAGAAGAGGATGGGAAAGAATACAAAACATGGGCAGGAAGAGCACAGGAGACTAAGGTGATGGTGCCCGGGTGGATTGGTGGTATAAATTCTATGGGGATTATCTCTGATGTAAAATATATATAAATAAAGAAATTATTTTAAAAAGTGTTGCCAGAACTGGTCCAGAACTTACCTCAATTAAAAATCCCATCATCATTAATATAATATTTGCAGAGTTCAAGTTACATAGACTTAAGATAAGCTTTTATAATACATTTTGTTTTTAATCAGTGGTCTGCTGGAACTATGACTTTGAATGGTAGGTTTTCATCTTTTTTTTTTAAATCTAGGATTTCATGGAAGTGTGTAAGGATAGTATGACCATAAGGGAAAAGCTTTTCTTCCCTAGGCTAACTATATTATCCTCAAATTTATATGCTTTATATATTGAAGCTCCTTAATGAGAATCTATTTGGAAGATTTTTATTTTAAACATTATACAAAAATGAACAACAATGTTTTATATATGTGTATGTATATACACACACACACATATATATACTATATAGTATATATACATATATACTATATATACATATACATAGTATATATGTGTGTATATATACACATATATTATATATAGTATATGTGTGTGTGTATGGAAATACTATATGACAGGAAAATACTATATATGTATATATATGTGTATATATGTGTATATATATATATGTGTGTGTATATATATATACACATATATATACATATATATACACTTATATATATTTCCTGTCATACTATATGACAGGAAAATACTGTGTATATGTGTGTATATGTGTGTGTACATGCATATATACATATACATATACATACATACATATATATATATATATATATATATATATATATATAGTATTTTCCTGTCAAAACTTAGGTTGAAAATTATTCTTATTCTTAGATGCTTAGTTAAGATTTTTTGGGAATGAATTATATGAAGTTACGTGCAATTTCTAAATTATTGTTTCAGTATTCTAAAATGGTAACATGAAAGATTTTTTTATACCTTTTGAAGTCCTTTGCTGCTTGATTAGTTGTTTCTTTTTACCTTCCTAAGAGCTTGATTAAATAAAATACATGAAGTGAGTCTATTTCAGTTTAGCATGATGCCACAAACATGGTAATTAATTACTTTCTATATTATCATGCTTTTATTAGATACTTGAAGGGAAATGTGATTAGAAATTTAGGTTTCTTTTTTTTTTTTTAAAGATTTTATTTATTCATACAGAACTGGGGTACAGGCCAGAGATGTGGAGGGTGAGAGGCTTCACCAGGGACAGAGTGGGGAGCAGAACAGGCAGATGGACGAAGTACACTGCTGAGGGGAGCAGCGGGCGGGTCAGGAGAGGTCTGCCGCGCCATATGGTCACCTCCGGGGCAGGCGGGGATCGAGCTCATGCTGAAGTGGCTTAAGCTTCTTAGTGCTTAGGCCCACCAGGGAGGGCCTAGAAATTTAGGTTTCTTACAACATGAAACAAACATGAAACAAAATACCTGGTTTGATTAAGAAAATTATCAACCTCTTTTTATAGGTAAATATCATTATTAGATTGAGAACACTTTTCTTAAAAAGGACATGAGATGATGGGTATTAAATTGTGATCCTTAAAGACATTTTAACTGTAATCTAGACTAGTATTTTTACTAAGAGTAATTTAAAGTAAGGTGATGACTTAAAAAGAGCAGTACAATTATGAAAGCATCAAGTCTTCTGGTAACATTTGCTTGGAGTTTAATCGTTTATTGAAATTTCATAGGTTCTAGGTTTAAGAAAATTGCTTATCCACTTGGACTGGCTACTTTTGGAGCATCTGTTTGCTACCCAGCTCAGTCAGTAATAATTGCAAAGGTAAGTTATTTTTAAGTGATGGCAACATTTTAATATTTGCTTAAGTGCTAAGTGTCACAATATTTAAATGTTAGATCTGGTTTGGGAGCTGTAGAATGCTGACCTCCACAAAATGAGAAGGTCTCACTTATGACTCTGACCAAATGCAAATGCAGATCCCTATGTGAATTTATTGGGAGGAATCCACATTACAATAATATGAACATACAGTTAAATTGGCAGCAAAAAAAGGGGAAAAGAAACAAATCTTTTGGTAAGGTTCAGGTGGCTGACAGGGCAGAGTGTGAGGGATCCAGTCCCAAGAGCTCCAAGAATCCATCTCTCTATAATGAGGAGCACAGTCTCTTCTCAGGGTAGCAGTCCTGGCAGTTCTTAACTAGACTCTGGAGAAGGCTTCAGACTATAGGCAGGGATTTCTTGAGCATCTCAAATTGTGTTAACTTCAGTGCCCATAACTATGCCATTTCTCAGAGGCATTTTATCAGGACCACCTGTTAATTTTGATTTAGTTGGTCTCTCCTCACTGCCGGGTTTATATCTGCCCTGGCCTCTATCATGCCTGTCAGTGTCTTCATAAACAAGTGGTCGCTTTTTATTGAAAACTTACCTCTAGAACAATGGCCTCCACCTTCCAGAATGAGGATCATTATAGAACCAATGCATATGACAAGGATTAAGTTCAGCAATATTGAATTAGAATTTTGGGGAAAACTTCTGTATTGTTGAGCTATATAAAATTCAGTTTTTAATTAACCTGCTGGCAGCTATTTAGTTGAGCAGATTAGTATAATGCAAAAAAAATACCAATTGATATATAACAGAGGCTTCTGAAGATAAAAAACAAAAACAAAACAAACAAACAGAAAAAAAAAATAGCAGTAAGGGCCCTCCCGGGTGGTGCAGCGGGTTAAAGCACAGCACAAAGAAGCTTAAGCCACTTCTGAATGAGTTCGATCCCTGCCTGCCCCGACCTGCCCCGGAGGAGATCCACATGACACATGACGAGGCAGACCTCTCCTGACCCGCCGGCTGCTCCCCTCAGCAGTGTACTTCATCGATCTGCCTGTTCTGCTCCCCACTCT